GTGGAGGGGCGGGCGGGCGGGGACAAGCAGTGAGGTGGCGGAGGCCCTCCGGGCTGGTGTGAGGGCTCTGGCCTGTCCTGTGCAGGATCCGGGGAAGAAGAAGGGTTTGTGTGATGCACTTGGTGGTGGGGACGCTCTGGCTTCTGATTAAAGGATGGACTGAGTAGGGGCGCAGGCAGAAGCAGGGAGATTAGCGAGGAGGCTGGTAGCGGCATATGGGCTGGGAGGTATGTCAGCTGGGTTAGAAACGACAGAGGCTGTTGAACTTTTGTATTGGGAAGTGAGAAAAGGAAGCTGATTTCTAGATTTCTGGCCTCAGGAACTAGAACTCTGGAGTTGGAACCGGCAGACTCTGGGAAGGCGCAGAGGCACAGGTTTCCAGGAAAGATCCAGAATTTTTCATTGGCCATGGCAAGTTCGAGATGGCTTGTTATTCCCCAGAGGAGGTGCTGAGTGGGTGGTCGCCCTCTTTTCATCGTACTGTGTTTCTCACCGATTGAAGGTTTGCCTTAAGGCATGCACAGTGGTTTTTTCAGACATAATGCTACTGCACACCTAATACACTACAGTATAGCATAAGCGTAACTTTTATACGCGCTGGGAAGCCAGAAATTCACGTGACTTGCTTTATTGTGTTGTTTGGACCTGAACTTGCTTCCGAGATCTGCCCGTGACGGGTTTGGAGTCTGGAAGTCGTCAACGTGTGACTGTCGTGTGAAGCTGTGGTCCTGGTTGAGGTGGCTTTGCAGTGAGGAGAGAAGGGGAGCACGAGGTTCAGAGGGGCGGGAGACGGCAGGGGGCCCAAGTCACTGTCTTCCGGGAGCTTACGCTTTTGTGTGTTTCTTACTTCATCAGTTATCTTTACAAGTGGGAGACTGTTCATAGGAATTTCGTCTTTTCAGTTAATGTATGTCTCTTTATAAACAGGTTGTGTTTATGTCTGTCTCTGTAAGCAAGGAAGATTGAGCCAGATGACCCCAGAGAAGTTGAATGGTACCCAGAACAGGCGGGACCCTCGTGGTAGCCAGGTAGGGGGGCGTGCAGTGTGGTCGAGCATGGGTGGGCAGATGAGGGGCTCAGGAGGTCCAGCAGGGCTCCTGGGGACGGAGTGGCCTGACGTGTCGTGGAGGAGACCCAGTTGCACCACCGTTGTCCCTCGTGGAGTGGGTGAGGGCCCCAGGTGGCCCTGCTCACTGCTGGGAGGAGACACTTCTCAGAGCAAATAAATTCCAACAAACCAACAGCCCAGGCCATCATCACAGCAATTACAGGAAACACTACAAGTTTTAAAAATTAAATCTGTGTGGAAAGTGGGCATTTGAAAGTCCCATATAAAAAGGAAAATGCATGCCAGCAAATAATGACAGTTTTGTTTCTTTCTAAGCTTTATACCTGTGTTTCTTCCTGGCCTTAATACATTGGGTGTGTCTCTAGTTCATGGTCGGATAGAAATTGTAACAGTGGTCATCCTTCTCTTGTTTCTGATCTCGTGGAGAAAGTTTTCAATAATTCACCAAATACTATGTTTGCTCTGGGTTAGGTGTAGATACTCTGTATCAGATTAGGGGAGTTCCATGTTATTAGTAGTTTCCAAGGACCTTCTGTCGAGTGCGGGTGTTGAGTTTTATCACGTTTGTGTCTCGGGTGATTTTTCTCTTCTTTATGTTAATATGGTCATAAAAATTACAGTGATTGATTTTCTAATGTGAGGCCAACCTTGGTTTCCTGGATCAGTCCCACTTGTGTGTGCTTTATCCTCTTCATGTGTGGCTGAGCCTAATTCACATATTTAGGAGTTTTGTATTTATATTAGATGGTAATTTTTCTTTCTTGTAATATCCTTGTCAGATTTATTATCAGGATCATGCTGCTATCAAACACTAAGCTGAGATGGGACCCTCACGTTTTATTCTCTGGAAGAGTTTGCCTAAGATTGTTATTACTGCTGCTTTCAGTGTTTAGAAGGATTGACTGATGGACCTATGTTGAAATATTTTAAATTATAAATTTGTTTAATCGATGCGGAATGTTCAATATTCTGTTGCTTCTTAGGTTTTGAAAGTCGTGTTTGTTGAGGAAGTAGCCCTCATTTCTAATTTTTTAATTTCTTTCACTAAGTTGTTTAAAGTGTCCTTTTTTAGTGTTTTTAATTAGAGCACATCTGATGGTGACTGATGTCCCCTTCTCCATCCCTGTTGTTGGTCCCGGTGTGTCCCTTCCTTCTATACTCTTGAAAGAAGTTTGTCATTTAGGGAACTAGCTTCTTGCTTGGTATTGTTTGTTGTACATTCGAATTCACTGATTATTGCTTCTTATTTTTTCCTTTTCAGTTGCTGTTTTTCTATCTTCTTAGTATGAGTGGGTGGATCATTGATTTTCAGCCTGTCTTGCTTTTGAATATATGCGTGTAAAGCTGGTCACATTCCCCTCCAAATTTGTCTTAATTAACTTGATCTCATAATTCTTTCTTTTTTTAAAAGTTTAAAAAAAATTTTATTTATTTTTGGCCGCATTGGGTCTTCGTTGCTACACGCGGGCTTTCTC